TCATGGGTGGAGGAAATAGGTCGTCGTCCCCTTATTGGTATTTAGGGCCCCTACCCACCGCTCAGGGGGGAGGACAATAGGTCCCCCCCCCATTGGTATTCAGGGCCCCCACCCACCGCTAAAGGGTGGGGGCCAGGAGGGAGGACAATAGGTCCCCCTTCAGGTTAGAAGCCCCCCCTTATTCTAATTAAGACCCCCATCCACCGCTCAATAGGTACCCCCCTTGTTGGTATTTAGGGCCCCACCCGCTGCTCAGGGGTTTGAGGACAAGAGGTCCCTCCCCTTATTCTAACTTAGGGCCCCCACCCGCCGCTCAGGGGTGGGGGCTGTGGGGAGGACAATAGGTCCCCCCTCCCTTATTCTAATTTAGGGCCCCCACCCGCCGCACAGGGGCCGGGGGGAGGACAATAGGTCCCCCTCCATTATTTTACTTTAGGGCCCCCACCCGCCGCTCTGGGGGGGGTTCAATAGGTCCCCCCTTCAGGTTAGAAGCCCCCACTCGCGCGGCACGGATGGGGGCTTGGGAGGGGGGACACAGTGTTTTTTTGTTTGTTTTTTAAAGTGAGCAGCCACAGGCGGTTTACAATACATGCCCCTACTCATGATATAGCAAGCTGGGGCATAACTAACTAATACTAATTAATCTTTACTTAGTATTAGTAAATGTGGCTGGAAGACCAATTTAGGTCTTTCAGCCTTTTAGTAGATAGCTCCCTAATAACGTGGGAATTAGGGAGTTATCTACTTATTCATTCCTGTCATTCCATTGACTGGCTAAGTAACTTACATTTTATATGAATGTGTGTTATTTGATTGTTGTTGCTAATGTTTACAGCTGAATCCTGGTTATGTTTGTATACTTTTTATTTAAACTTATATACAGTGTAACATTCTTCAATCTTCCACTGGGTAGGTTTATTAGTAATTCGGCAATACTGTACTTCGGCAATTCAGAACTTCGCAATTCAGCTATTCGGAAGTGTCTGAATTGCCCAAAATTCGTCCGAATTAACATTCGGAACGAAACAAATTGCACATGTCTTATATGCTCACAATATTCTGACCCTTTTGAACGAAATGGCTCTGAACGTACACGTTTGTGTGCCCTTCTGACAGCAGCTATACCTCTTCTGTGTATCAGAATATTCCAATAAAGTGCATATAGGAAATGAAGACACAAAAGGAGCACACAATAGTGAAAATACATCTGATATAATATAAAAGCTAATCACAGGTGTATTGGCTTTGCTCACCTTTACCTGGAGCCCATAAAATACTGGCTCCAAATTTAAAGACACAAACCAGATAAAGAGTGGCAATAAGTATCAAGCCGATAGACTGAGGTGATAATAGTTATAAAATTTATATCTTTAATTTATCAAAAAAAGATAATGAGGAGGAGGAAGAAGTTAGAAGACAAACAAGTTATCACAGGAAAGACATCACGAAGAAAGGTAAATGCCTCCCCACCCCCCACCCCACCCCCGAAAAACAAATAGCGGATTGGATATCTTTGAAAAACTTCCCCAATAAATTAATGAACCCAAGGGGATAACGGCATACCGAATGAAAACCCCGGGAAACCAGTTAAAACACTTCTTGGAGGCCCTTAAAGCGTCACTGTCATGGTCGAAAACCATTTTTTATTAACTCCCCTCCCGACTCCACTACATCTAATTGACCCCCTAGTCACCCCCAAATGCCCCTAAGCTCCCCATATTACCTATTTTTTTATCTTTATTTTGTGCCCGGACCTAGGTCCTGGGCGCCACCATCTTTATGGGGGTAGAGAAAGTCCCTCTGGGACAAGTCATCTGCACACACTAGACAGCGCTGTGAAATTCCTGCACATGCCCAGTTAAACACTTGGGCATGCGAACGGGAATTTCGTCCATTCATTCGTCAGAAAGACGAAGGAATGAATAGAAATGTCAGACAAACAAACACTATATCAGTGTTAGTTTGTTCGTTCAGTTTCTGTGCTCCCCGCCACTTCCTAAGCCCCCCAGGACCCCTACACTATATTGTGTTTTCTTCTCTCTTTCTTTTATATGCATATGAAAAACTACTACTCCAAGTCCATACAGAGGGGTACGTTTAACATACTGTAAGCGCTGCACTCGCACTTTGATGTTTTAAGGCGGTGGCACGTCACCTAAAAAATGCAGTGTTTTGCATTATATAAAGTTGTTTTGGTGTTTAGAGTGTCCTTTTAATTTATGGAACTAGTTGTATACCAGACTTTAATTTGTGTGTACAAACATTTTAAGTATGGGGCCAATGGTGGATTTTGGTTTTGTGCTGCCCTAGGCATGACTAAACTCAGGCACCCCCCTATTTAAAATATGTCCCACCCCTTCCTGCCAAGGCCACACCTCTTCCTGTTTAAGACCAACCCGAACTTTAAATGACAGACACATGCCCTCACTGAAATACACTCACTGACAGATACAGAGTCATTGGTACACACACTGTTTAACCAATGCACACTTTCACTGACAGACACACACTCACTGACAGTCACACACTCTCAATAACATATACAATGACATACACTCACTAAGAGACGCACAGTGACATACACACGCACTCACAGATTTGACACAAGCACTCACAGACACCTCACTGATTTTACAAACTCTGACAGGCACACACATTCACTGACAGACACACTCGCTAACAGACAGACACACTCACAGACACACACATTTTCCGGCACACTGACAAATTATTTATTTTAATTTAAGTCCACCCAGACTCCAGTCTCCTGTGGGAGAGCTGGAGTGGATGCCTTGTCAGCCTAAATACAGCACTGCTATCGGCTTTAAACTTAATTTACATAAGAGAGATTAGGAAGGTGGCAATTTATTTGAAAACGTTCTCACTAATCATTAGATTTGTGCACGGCAAAAAATTTGGTTCAGCACAATCAACTTGTCTGTGAAAATTTTAGATAGATGGAGATATATGAATATACACACTGGCTCGTTTTCAGCCCATTTGGTAGCCAATAGAAGGAAGAAAAGGATCAGTAATAGCAGAAAGAGAGAAGTGCTCATGCCATTGTACAGAACACTGGTGAGACCTCACTTCGACTATTGTACACAGTACTGGAGACTATATCTTCAGAAGGATATTGATACTTTAGAGAGCGTTCAGAGAAGGGCTACTAAACTGGTTCATGGATTGCGGGATAAAACTTACCAGGAAAGGTTAAAGGATCTTAACATGTATAGCTTGGAGGAAAGACGAGACAGGGGGGATATGATAGAAACATTTAAATATATAAAGGGAATCAACACAGTAAAGGAGGAGACTATATTTAAAAGAAGAAAAACTACCACAACAAGAGGACATAGTCTTAAATTAGAGGGACAAAGGTTTAAAAATAATATCAGGAAGTATTACTTTACTGAGAGGGTAGTGGATGCATGGAATAGCCTTCCAGCTGGAGTGATAGAGGTTAACACAGTAAGGGAGTTTAAAGGGACACTATAGTCATCAGAACAACTACAGCTTATTGCATTTGTTCTGGTGAGTAGAATCATTCCCTGCAGGCCTTCAGAAAATGCAGTGTTTACATTACAGCCTAGGGATTCCTCCAGATACCTTAGATGGCTGCTAAAGCTGCTTCCCTAAGCAGCCCTGCCTAATGTGCAGCACTGCCATTCAGTGTCTCCATCCTCTGCATGGAGACCCTAAACTTTACTCATAGAGATGCATTGATTTAATTAATCTCAATGAGGAGATGCTGTTTGACTTGTGCTGGCTCTGCCCTTGATCTGCCTCCTTCACAATGTGAAAGAATTTGGATCTATTATAACAGTTTTAGCCAAGCCTATGGGGAAGCATTGTGATTGGTTCAGACCACCAATTCTAATGATGTCAGCAGGCAGGGGCAGGTCAGAGGCAGACAGGGGCAGAGCCAGGAGTTTCAGACATGAATACAAGTAAGATTTTACTATATTTACGGTAGCAAGAGAGGGCCAGGGGGGCTAGATGGTGGTTTTAACACTATAGGGTCAGGAATACATGTTTGTGTTCATGATCCTATAGTGCTCCTTTAAGCATGTGTGGGATAGGCATAAGGCTATCCTAGACAATCACCAAAACACAAAGAAACTTTTTGATTTGGATGATGTTACCACCATCCAAATCTAAAGTACTTAAAGTGAGTGCAGCGCTATATAAGTGCTTAGGTAAGTGTGTTCGCTGTATTTTGGAACTCTTACCCTTTATCGTTTATCTTGATGCAGTATGGTACATAAAAACGAAGAAAAAAAGAACATATACAGATAATAGTGTAATATGTCTTTAAATGGAGCGATTGGTGAAATAAGTGAACATATACACTCACATTTATTAGAGCCTTTTCTAGTGTTAGGCTCTAAACTTCTGCACGTCTGTGTCTTTTCGGGTAGACCACACGACCCCTCTCTCACAAGGAAGATATGTATGTTCTCCACCGAATATATAAAAGACACAGATATTTCATACTAAGTGTAGCATCTCAGGAAAGAAAATGATGTCCATATAAGAAAAAATGGAAATGCTCACCTTATTTAGAGCCCTTGGTAACCGGCTCTAAGTATATTTGCCCAGTGTCAAATTTTGGGGTGACACTGCCCCTCCCTTTGTATCAGTTATACAGGATACAATGGATGAATTGAAGAAATGGGAACAAATTTATTTGTAGATAAAATTATAAAATTACACTGTAAATAACTAGAAAATAAAAAACAGTAAAATAGCAGTACAATATAAAATATGTGACCTAAAAAAGTATGTATGGGTTCACTTTAAAAGCTAAAACGCGTTTCGCCGATAAAAACGGCTTCCTCAGTCAGCTACAAGCAATCTCTGTTTGTCCAACTTAAAAGGTTTCAAATTTCCCGCCAATTTTTACTTCATCCAATCAATAAGTGTTTGTAGTGCATCCGGAGTTCCGTCGCGTCACTTCCGGTTCTTTCCAACTACCAAGTCCGTGATGCTTTGCCATAATGCAGGATTCTGTTGCCTCATTTCCGGTAGTTGTGAACTACCAAGTCCACAATGCTCCGCGAGTGGCCCTTAACTTCCGGTTTCGCCATTCCAAAGTTCAGTATGACGCGGCCGCAAATGCCGTCGCGTCATTTCCGGTTTTCGTAAATGATAATAAAGTCCATAGTCCTCGCCATTCCAAAGTTCAGTATGACGCGGCCGCAAATGCCGTCGCGTCATTTCCGGTTTTCGTAAATGATAATAAAGTCCATAGTCCACCTCCTGAAAGTATAATTCTCCAACACATCTTATATTAGTATTCTCCTTATGTATATTTCAACACATAAACAAATACAATCAAAAAGAATATGTGCAAATGTGCAAGTGTGTTCATTTGGGTCAGTGCAAATCAATTAATGGATTTTCAATCTAATTTAATGATAATTGATATTTTATGAATCATTTAGTCTAATAAAATGATGTTCTTCAATGCAGAAAAAAGATGGAAGAATCCCAAAAATTTATGAAAAAAATAAATAAAAAAAAAATAAAGTTATATATAATATATCAACATGTTGTCCATATACTTATTTGTGCATGTAAATAAATGCATTGGATTAGAATATGTGCAAATGTGTAATTGTATTAGATTGAAATTGTGCAAATATTGTGTTTTCTTTAATGTTTCTAATAGTTAAACTAATGTATAATTTTCTATAGTGAAAAAATATATAATATACCAACATATTATTATTCACCATATACTTATTTGTGCATGCAAATAAATGCATTGAATTAGAATATGTGCAAATGTGCAATTGTATTAGATTGAAATTGTGCAAATATTGTGTTTTCTTTAATATTCTATTCTAGGATATAGTCTATCCTAGACTTAAGATAAGGTCAGGGACTAATGGGCCGAATGCTTCTCACCTGAACAACGTCAGCATTTAGTGGTTTTCCCCTAGCCATCATTCATCTCCCCCCCTCCCCCCCATCAATCATATTGTAGCGCTATCAATCAGAACTCGGATAAGGCTGCATAAAAAGGGGTTGAGGCAATTTGCTGCAGTGTTTTTACAGTCCCTCATTATGACACATCAAGCAGGAGGGATGTGCTTTGGTTGTCAGAGAATCCTTTGTTTCTTTTATTAAAAGAACACTGGGCACCATAACCACTCCATTGGAATGAAGTTGTTATGGTGAGAGGATTTCGGGGTTGCCCTCTAAACATCAACCATTGTTCTCCATCCCTCATTGTTTTATGATGGTGTTTAGGAGTTCAGAATTCAGATGAAATGCAATTCATTTGAATCCGAAAGTCTCCTAGTTATTAAAACCTCTTACATGTGATATGCTCTTTGAAAGCCATCTGCTCCTCCATCATTGCTTCCACTGGGTTACAGGTAAATAAAAAGACAGGTAAATATTAATTAATAGTTAATTAATTAGTTAATAATTAACAGGTAAATAATAAGAACACTTAGGGCAAGGATTTTCATGCAGAATTGGCTCAATGAATATCTGTATATACGGGGAGAGCACACTGCTGCATGTGTTCTGGGACTGCCACAAACTGACACAATATTGGCAATGAGTTAGAGATCTGGTTACAGAAACCACTGCGGTAACTGTCCCCCTCCGACCGGAGTGCTTTCTCCTACATATATTCATAGGGCTGCTGACTTCAACGCACAAGATGGTCATTTGCCACCTCCTTTTGGCTGCCAAGATCAGTATAGCTAGCCGTTGGAAAAGCGCAGACCCCCCATCTCTTCAGGAGGTGAGAGACAGGGTACACTCGACTTATGAGCACGAACGTTTAGCGTATAGATTGAAAGGGCAAGAGGACAAGCACACACGACTATGGCATAGCTGGAAAAACACGCCCACCCTTGAGATAGAAAAGACAGCTTGCAGCTCTGGTCTAACACGAGGACAGGACAGTGACATTAAGACACGCAGCAGCACACGTCCGCAACCCCACAATTGTTTATTTGGAGACAGATTCCCCCCCATAACCGACAACTGACAAGGGCGACCTAGTCGAATGCAAACCATCATATGCCAAAGGCAGTTTTGCTACAAACCCTTGCTGATAATTCTTCTATGATTGTTGTTGTTACTTGACGGATGTTACTTGATGATCAAGAGTTCATAAGTTATGTACATGCTAACTTGTGCCCGCAGGAGCGGTCAATGATGATGTCGATGCATTGTTCCCCCATTTGTTACGCTACTTGGGTGATTTGGCTTGGAACTCAACTGCAGCTTGTAAACCTCCCTAATTACATGAGTGAAGATACAGAGAAACTTTAAAGTATCAATACTGTAGCTTTAAGAAAAGAGGGAATCGCTGGTAAATTGATTCAAACGAAGTAATAACTGATTGCATTTAGGCAATAATCCAATAAGAAGAAGTGCAAGTAATAAACAACACAAAGTTCATTATTAAGTATTTCCTTAGAGATGCATTAAGTAACATTCTTTAGTTAATGAGAATAATCTTCAATAGTAATATTAAGCAAGTAGCTGAGAATAGTTGCAAAGCAAGAACAGTCCATAGCTAATAGGCTTGATGGGAGTTGTCCTCCAAATAATTAGTAACTTGAAGCAGTGAGTGTAATTGCAAAGCAAGAAACAGTTCATAGTGAATGAGCATAGTTAATGAGCATGATGGGAGTTGTCCTCCAATTAATTAGTAGCTTGTAGTAGAGAAGATTTCAGAAAGCAAGACTTAGTTCATTATTAATTGAGATTGTAGATAATTAGGTGAGATGTATACTTAAGGTTAGTTGTCCTCCAATAGTAAGAGATAATGTCGACTTGTAAAGTGAGTTTCCGTTCTCCAGCATTCCTCTATAACATGAGCTTACTTGTCTTAGCCCGATGGCTAAGATAACATCAGAGCTTGAGAGCCGGCGTCTTCCAGGAGCCGGTGTATACACTCGAAAGTTGGACCCACATTGCCAGACCCTGTGGAGAGCCTAAGTCTGGCGGAAGTAGTTCCCAGTAGCTGAGCCTGTGGAGCCTGCGGTCTCGCGGAGGCAGCTCACACATTAGCTTGCACACAATCACCAAGCAGCCTCTCTCTGGCGCGGTCTCCCTAAATACCGTCAGAGGGGGGCGGGGCACAGCGGAGTGCCGAACCTGGAAGTGTTACCGCATGACACCATTCCATCTTCCTTTCTGTACCCTTGAATATCCGTTGCACGTTGAAAAACCATAATAAAAACGAGACATTGAAAAAAAAATCTGAATATACCTTTCCTGGTTAAACACCTTTCTGTTAATATTATTAAATACGATGAGAGGATGTGGGGACATGCCACCATTGGCATTAGAATAATGTCAGAATTGATATTACCCAGGTTGGAACTCTTGTTCTGGGCTGACTAATGACTCACAATAAACATCAACTGAAGGCTTAAACTGCGCATGTGCAATGTTTTTTTGCTGATGTTTGGAGTAACCGTTTAATCAAAATCTGTTCTGACTGTGCCAGGACAGCCTGTAATATGATTAAGCGATTATACAAATTACACAAAAAGCAGTTTTCACAGATGACTTTCAGTTAACTTCTACGTTGTGCCAAAAATGTAAAAATGACATTGGCACTTTCAGGGAGTTTTAGTAGGGGAGTCTGTAAAGAAGAAATATTTGGTAATAATTACAACACATTTTTGCAAGTGTGCCCTGTAGTTAGAAGCTGTCCTCACCAATAATTTTCATAATTTGATGAAAATGTAAAACATAAATTCTACTTGAATTTGTAGTGTAACATATTTGAACTGCTGCTCCAAAAAAGACATCAAAGGAAAATGAGACGCACCATAACCACTTGGGTTGTATGGGTGGCAAGAGTGCCCTGGCACCACCTTATTGCAAGTACCTTACTATTTGGGATCTAATAGGTGTCCTATCCCACATCCACTACAGTTAACAGAATTCTGCTTAGGAGTTTGTGTAAGCTCTCCTGAGCTAAGCCTTGCAATGCAGATTGCTCAGTCAATAAGCTAAGCCCTGCTATGTATGGTGTGATAGACCACCCGATCACCCATGACTTGAACATGGCTCCCAGCCATCACCCCCTCTCACACACTAATTCACCCTCCAGACCATGCCTCTCAGGTCAGCAACTCCAACCGACTGCCATGAGGATATCAGAGACCGGCGAGGAACTCGCATGCACATGGTGCGACTTACCAGGAGCAACCTACAAACTGGAACTCTAGATCGGATTTCGGAGTTGCCACAATCTGGTCAAATTTCAACGAGGTCACTCTAGGTAACTACCATCAATCACGTTGCTGTTTGGAGGAGTGATAGAGGAGGTGGTGAGGCATCCAAGGACACCAAGGACTTGAGGGAGATCCATGTACCGACGGAGAGCACAGTTGGCGAAGGTGACCAGGACTTTCCACCCAGTGCTATGGAACTCTGCATTGGATCGGAGGATGCTCGCGGCCCGGTCAAAACTTATCATCTGTATCGGACCAGGTATCTCAGATTTAGTCGCTTTTTGGGCTGTACATCGGTCTCTGGGAGAGCTATACGGGGATGACACTGGTTTGGGGTCGGGGACATATGGTTGTGGGGTGAAATGTTATGTGGCGCCGAGGTGTCTGGCCGTCAATAAAGTTAACTCATCAGGTACAGGCACCAAAGCGCCAGATGTTGCGAAATACCTATTGTTCTCCTGAAGACTGTTCCTCTGTTGGGGTCCCAGGTATAAAAGCGTGACATTCAAGCAATCAAGCGTACTTGTTCACCCTGACATTAAGCTTAGGCAAACAATTGTGGATGGGATCTCATCACTTCAATGCTAATCATTAAGGGGGAAAGGGAGTCCTTGGTGTCAACACTTAAGTCCCCTGCGACTAGATTACCACCAGTTTAGCTCAAATGGTGCATACAGCTCTCTGTTGGAAGTAGTGAGGCGGAGAGTGGCTTCAGGCTAATCCCAAGTAAGAAGTAAAACCATTCTAAAAGGTTTGACTACTTACAATGAGGGGGAGGTGGGGCACGCTGTAGTGGTTCCTTTAAGGAAAAAAACACTGAGGTGGCCTATTACCAAAAACCTAGTTAGAAAAGTTGCAGTTGTTAGCAATTTTTATAATATTTGCATGAATGCGACCAAGGAAGACAATACCATTTAGACATTTGTCCTGGCTCAAAAATTTGAGAGAGAAAGAAAATTATTAGGAACAGAACTGAAATACATGTAAAATAGAAATTAGAAATAGTGGGTAAATCATAAAGAGACGGGTTTTACTGATTCCTAAAATGGTCGGGATTGACGCAAAAGGCTTTAAAC